CCTATATCAAAGACGCAAACTATGAAATTTTTAATATAAAAATTCAGCCGGATATTTTGCCGGATACTAACGAAATCCGGCTATCCGGCCGGATAATAATAAAAGGGCCGGATAGGCCGGATACCGGATATTTGCCGGATATCCGGCACATCCCTAGTCAATAGACCCGTATAAAAGCCGTCGTACGTCGACAAAAATTAAGAATATCAGGATTGTAAATGCGTCTATCGAGCACTTTCCATTATTCTTTTCCAATACAGTTTCATAAATAAAATTTTTCTAATTCTACTTTTTATACTGTGAGATTATAACAAACAAAATTTTCGTCGAGATATTTAGATATTCCGAGTTTTATGTTCTAAAGAATACAAATAGTTTTTCTGGATGATTCTCAAGTTATATATTTCATTCTTTCCATCTTGAAATAATTGCAAACGTCTATATTCCCATTTATTATATCTGTATATTTTATTCATTATAATTTATAGTAATTAAGTACTCCATTCTGTGTGTTTAATATACTGCATATATTCTCAGATATAAGCCTCATAGCTGAACTGATCATGGATGATACTTTTGGTCAAAGTATTCCTTTCATAGTTATTAAATATCAACATAATAAATTATTGTCGCAATTAATTTGTAAATTATTATAGGAAGAACGTAAAATGTAAATTATTAGGCTAAAACGTGTTATTTCTATAATTCAACCAAAAAGCAAGCTTTGTACTGAAATAAATTCTAAATTAATATAAGGAAAATTTTATATTTTCCCATTTTCTTTCCCAGTGCTCTATTACAATTAAAGCAGGCTGAAATTAACTTTCTTCGTGATTGTATGTATATTTATTCCTTAGCTAGATTCTTTCGATATTTTCCTGTAAGCGTGTTTTTTTTATATAATGACAAATTAAACTTGAAATCAGAGTTTCATTGAAATAAAGAATTTTAGTTCGTGTTCTTGAATGTCAAAATCAATGATATTATCATTTACATTTATCTTTGATAAATACAGACTTAAGATATTAGATAGTTATATTAGATTTAATGCTTACATCTTCATGTAACAAACCTTCCAATCTTTATATTTGTATTCTAATCTCACTATTTGGTCAATTATAACTTGGTCTTCATTATCACTTCTCACATGGCAGATCATCTAGAGAAAGCCTAATTATAAGGAAATCAAATTGTTTTCTTCTCAGTGTTCTAAGTTATGTTACTGCTGGAAGAGATTAATAAAGAATAGTGACATACTATTGAGCAAAAAATATAAATACGTAATCTCGATAGTTTATAATTAAAAATTTATGAAGTGAACATATACACACATACACACGCACACATACACACACAAATATGTACTTGGATTTAATTTGCTTTCAGCAAATACCTAAATATGCATCAGTATGTATAGTTTTGGAGTACTTTAGAGGAAATGTATCATCTAAGAACTAGTCAACTTTTCTTATAATATAGGTCGATTGTTCAACATTACTGGAGATTGATGTTCAAGAAAAAAAAAAGATTTCTTTGCTTGTAAAGATAAAGATTCACGTTGTCTTGCTCTTCGCAGAAAGCCTCGTTGCCAGGGTGTAAGCATGTGGAAAATTATGCACAATCATGTACAATATTCCCAAGTACAAAATTATGCCGATAGTAAGAAAGAGATCAAACACAGCCGGTTTTACACTGCAAATGAAATGAAAATAATTACACGCATATAATCGACATTACATACTAAGAATATGTATGTATAACATGATATTGTGTAAAAAAAAAAGCTATATGCTTTACCTATATACATTCAAAGTTGCTTTTGTAACATCATAGAACACAAATTCAGGATCTTGTTTGTCAGGAGTGTGGAGAGTAACTTTCACATCTCCCAAATATCTCGTCATTGCTTCCTTCAAAGTGCTAACTAGTAAATTATTTTTATCCGCTAGTAACGACGCTGCTCTTGGTTGAGAAGCGAAATAATTAAACCATAAGGAGAGCGATTCTTTTGATACGTCCTGTAAAGAAAGAGATTCACGTAAAGTATCATGTAGGAGCATATATCTGCCAATATAATTATTAAATACATATATGATATAATATAGATTAAAATTATATTCTAATATTTTCTTTATATTTAAAATATAAAATAGAGGAGAGAAGAAAAAGAGAAAGTAACTAAGAATATAAAATTCTATGGTAATAAACGTACCAATGGACCGGTAAAGATTTGACTAGAACTTAAGTTATATATATGACGCGCCAATGCCTCTGATATAATTTGAGTATGCTTGTACAATCTCTCCACTTGTCCCTCTCTAAAGACGTCTAATATAGTAGTCCTGGTTGAATCCTCGTGACTCTTTAACGTAGACAGAGTAGCAGCTGGCAATCTCCGAATGCTGTATCTTTCGTGTTCCCAGGCTAACGTTTCTTCTGCAAGATTTATCTTCTTATGCACGCCATCAACATTAACAGTGCTGAATGATTGCGAGACAGTTTTAAGCTCCTTGTAAAACAAACCACCCGAAGAATTCTCCTTGGGTGGCTTTGACACGTGCACATACAAATTATTGCTGGTGGAAACCGTGTCAAGGCATATTACATAAGCTGCGTCCTGCAAAGATATTTTCAAATATTAAGTACACTACAAAGAATATATATAATAAAATATAAAAATATCAGAAAATTATCATAAATATTAATATCGAAATTGTATTACCTGTATAACGGAACCTTCAACGCCATCCAATTGATCCTCCAGCCATTTCTTACTACCCTGATAATTTAATTTGCCAGCTCCAGTTGCAATGAAAACCAGATTATATTGCGGTCTTGTCCGACCAGTGGAATACAAGGCGGAGAACAGCCTCGCTATTTCTAGTAGCATAGCTACACCGGAAGCATTACTGTCCGCACCAAATGACAATTCCTGCAACAGGATCGTACCACACGTCTAAGCATACATCCAGCTTTACAAATATTACAAATGATACAGAAAATAGGCTTACGGGTGCGACACCACTACTGTCGTAGTGTGTCACTATCGCTATGGTAGGTAATTTCTCTTCGGTGCCAGTTCCAGTTAGCTTGCCGTGCAACGTGGCAACCTTGACGTCAGTCTTAGGAAGCGCCTGTCCAGTGGTTACTACCACTTGGTAGCCGCTAGCTGAAATTGAATTGTAAATAGCTTCGAACGCTGTACCAGCCTTATCGTCCGTGACGAAACCACCCGCGATGTCGTCCAGGATAATCTGAAGTTCTGGATGCCACAGCACAAAGTACACCGGTATCACCGTCTCCGATCCGTACATCATAGATTCTTCTAGATTTATGATGTGCTAAAACCGATACGAGGTATCGTCGATTCTCCGTCAAACAAATCTAGCTGTTTACGACAGCCTTACTTAAGGACAAATGTTTTAAGATATAACGAAGGAAGTTCCGTATCAATTCTATCACTGACTTGCTTCTCCTCAGCGGTGAGTTCGTTGATCTTCTCAGGTAGAACAATCACCAGTGCGCCAGCCTTACTTCTAACGGACTGGAAGACGGACGGCGTGACGTCCAGCGCCCTCGCGACGACGCAGTGCCTGGAGGTGCTCCATCCAGCCAGGGACCTCGCCTCCAAGGAAATGGGTGCGCTCCGGCAACCTGGACACATCGCGTATTTCTCTGAGAAACTCAAAGCAGATCGAGATCCCCGGCGAGATCTTGGATAAACTCGACGTCTTACCGTGCGAAACCCCGTGCAGGTCGTACTGGTGCATACGATAGACGGGAAACTCGTGGGAAGCGGCCACCGGGTTCACCGGGGAGATGATGATGAAGATCGGCAAGACTATTAACAGATAGTACGGCAGATAGCCCCGGCACAGCTCGGCGAAGCTGTCGCACTCCTCTAGCCACATATTTCCACTGAGAGTGTCGTATCACCGGTTCAAACAGAAATGCGGCTCTCGCGCAGCTTCATCGACACAAACCACGCTAGCAGCTCTCAGATAACTACTCGGCAAGCTCTCGTTTCTCGCCCGTACGATCGTACGATGACGGCAACGAGCAGACCCCGCTTTCCCTCGCGTCAGGTTGGGCTAGGTATGACTTGCTAAAGGCCTTTGACTATATCATGGTGGAAATATATAAGGTGTGCTCGTTACCGATACATACCAATTTTCGTCCGGTTTGCGCAGCTCCCAAGCGTCTCCATTTTAAGTCGATAGTTCGATACCTGGGAATCGATGTTCATCTGCAACGGTGTCTATATTGTGGCGGTTAAATCAAATCGAGCATTCTATAAGCAGTCATAGTCATATATCTAGTGCATTTATTGTGTGCAGATAGATAGATAAAGAGCAAAGAGTAATATTCTATACGTTTTCGCGCAACGATTATTTTTTAATTTCAGTTTCCATATATATTTATTGACAAAGTACGACTGATGGCAGACAACTATCCGTAAGCGCTTAAGACTGACGTAGTCGTAGACTTAAGGTAAGGCAGAGAAAAACGTAAGACGTGAAACACGTGTTCCTTATGGCTTATGTTTTTCTCACTTTCAATTCATAAGTTTACATTTATTGAATTTGAGATGAATACTTTAAGAAGTTGTCAGGAAAACGATTTGTGGTGCATGTAACTTCCTCTGTCACTCTTATTGTATTCTTCTATGAAATCCT